TGGACTGGTGGTATGATATGGGCTGTTGGGTTGGTATGGGTTATGGGTTGGTATGGGTTGGTGGGTTGGTGTGGACTGGTGGGGTTGGTATGGGTTGGTGGGTTGGTGTGGACTGGTGGGGTTGGTATGGTCTGGGGGGTTGTTCGACTGTTTCGTCGTAGTGAATTGATTGTTTTGATTAGTGTGGTGGAGTTTTTGTTGATGGGCTTTTTAAGGCATTTGTTTTGTAAGTTTTTCTGTAATTTTTTGGGTTTATTTTGTAATTAGCAAATTAGCTGCAGTCAAACAGCTACAGTGTTTATGTGTCAACGAAAATAAAATAAAGAAATGTATTGCGTACCTGAGGAGTTAGATTAAAATTGTTCTTTTCAATAAAAATATTTCAATAATTCTTTATATATAAAACTTTTTCATACATAAAACCTTTTCAGATTCAGTCAGAATTTAACTGGTGTGATGAAATATGTGCATAAATGAGGAAAAATATGTAGAAATATTTTAAAAACATTACTGTCGTTCTTACTCTAACCGTGAACATTGGAGATTGTTTTTATTTGTGTTAATATACTTTTATTTTTTTCTTTCTCTTTCATCATTTTATCTCCTTGAATAGCTTTTATAGACTTTCAACACATGTAACTCGAACTCCATTGTTTTCGATTCGTAATCTGATTGGTTGACAAACTCGAGTGTTCACGAGTAGAACGACAGTAAAGTCTTAACATTTACTCTTATTAACAATAAAATAGCAAAATAAATAAATATAACGTAAAAAAAATTAATATTCAAATGCAGAAAAATTTCTTTCTTTCAAGCTTCGCAGTATTTCAATCAGTTTATTCAAAACTTTTGTTATTCAAATGAGTTAATCCATTGTTGCTGGAAGCGTCGCTAAATTATATAAGAAATTATTGTCATTCAGCATCAGTTTGAAATACTTTATAGTTCAGTACGATTTCACTTCAAAATTAAGGCATTTTTAGCCCTGATCAAAAACTAAAAATGAGATATTCAACTAGTTTTAATTAAATGTAAGATTACGGATAAAACGCGTAGAATATTTAAAAAACATGACGTTTCGGCTAAATTTTAACTAGGGATTTTATTTTTTTATAAGATGAGAGCAGAGTGATAAATTAAAGATATTATTGCGTCTGTGAGTTACAATTGCATCAAATATAGGAATAAAATTACCCAAGCCATTTATGAATTTAAATAAATGAAAGAATCCTACACAGTAGAAAAAGAAAAATAATCTTTTATCTTAATACAAACATTTGATAATTTCAAACTACATCTCGGAGGTGGGATTAATTATTAAAAATGAGGAATTCCATGGAATGTTAAAAGAACCTCCTCGCCAGTCAAACCTTGCTGGGCTGAACGATTTGGTCATTTTAAATGGAGGTTGGAAATGTCATGTCGGTTCGAGATAACCCACTCTTTCTCGTTATGCAGATCTTATCTGCTTCTAAAGCTACTAAATTATTAAACACTGATTTTCGCTTTCCAATTCTAAAACCTTTCCGAATACGAAAAAAATAAAGCGAAAATACAATCAAAATTAAACTGGAGGTTGGTGATTTTGAAGCTATAACCAGAGTATGACAAATGGTTTAATGAAGAAGCGCCAAAAACGGTGAGTTTGGCGAACGCGGCACGTAAAATTGGTCTGTTATGTTGCCATGGCAACACTGCTGTGTACTGCACCACCTTTGGTGACTATCTCCCCGTGTCTACCCCCGTGGATTCTTTATCAACGATCGTTTCTACAAAAATACTGTGGTTAAGAAGCATTTACGGTCGATCAGAGACCCAATTCAAGACAAACGTACCGAAGTATTTTCATACTTTTTTGTTGGATTTGAATCAAACGGCGAAAAATTGTACATTATTGAGGCAGATTTCTGAAACACTGTGTATTTAAAGAATGTTTGTAGAACTTATTTAGGAAATAAACGCTTTCGCCAAATTCGGGGAAGATCAAACTGGCTCAGCGTTTGTAATTAATTATTGATACGTAGTTCGATTGAGAGCGACCTGTCGATGCGACTTGCCCAAAAATTGGAAGCATTTTCTTCGTGCTTCATGAATGGCTTAAAACCTTAGGAATTATTAGACTGTGCTTTGGTCATTCCTTTTACAGCGTTAAAAGAAGTTTGGGGAACTTACTGAGCAAATATGAAAAAGAATGACAACCTCGTGAGAAAAATAACAAAAATAATCATACTGTGATACAGAAAAATAGTCTCTGGTCGACTTCACCACAGTAAACTGAAAACCGAGAAATCTTTGTTATGTCATAAACGTAAATACGAAAGTTTAGCTTATTATTTTGGACTAAAGTAACCGAGTAAGGCGTTTCTGGCCGCAAACCTTGAGTCTGTAGACCCTAAGTAATTTCATTTTGAACGAGAAAATGACGTAAACGCTTTCAACTGCTGTAAATCTATATTACCATTGAGGTAATGCTTTTACTGGATGTTATATTTTTTGGACTTTTTTACAACAAAATTGGCTCTTTTCACATTACATCGATGCATAAAGAGGTTATTTGGTCAAAAACATACAATTTTCAATTAGAAAAGAAAAACAAAACAAATAATGCATTCACAAATTTGTAAAACTCTTCCAACTGTTTGAATTGATCCTCTGTACAAATTGATGACTAAAACCGTGATAGGACGAATGTGAATAACGGCTATCAAGTGGACATGAATTACAATTACCATATAAGTCAGTATTCTTTTACAGAGGAAAATGTTCGTAAAATTTTGGGCTCAGTTATCAAAGCTATCTCGACTAGTTCAAGCAGTTTTAGCTTTCTTCAACAATTTTGCATTATTATTCAAATGAAGTGTCTACAGACCATCGTATGAGCTTATCTCTTTATATTGTCAGCATATTTTTCATCCATCCATTCATTTACTAAAAGATTTAAGTCTCCTTTCTGGCATAAAATCCAAGTTTTCTCTGTATATAGCTGCCATGTCATAACATTCGTTTTTCCAAGGATCAATAGGATCGAGTAGCACTAAAAACATCTGCATAATTCCACAAATACGCCTAAACATTAGACTTTTAGTGGTTCTCAAGGTATCTTCCTTTATCGAAAATACTTGGTCAATACACGCCAAATCCCTCCAAATAGCAATCACACTATACAAGCGTAGAATCAATCAATCCATAGCTATTTCAATACGTACAAACTTTGCAAATCTAGACCTCAATTCCAATGTGTTCATATCTCAAATTTCAACATTCGATTCACTAATTTGAAGATGAATCCAAAAATTTCTGTGCATATTTAAGTGAGATTCGGTTTCATCTTGGCCTTGATCCTGATGCTTCGGATCGTTTTCTATCGGTATTCGGTCGGTATTTAACGGGACTCGTGGAAGAGCCAGATTCGTAAAATTGATCAGACCAACTCACGACACTTGCAGCTCTGCTCGTTCTACCCTGGCTTCTTTCGTCTAAATTCGAATGCAAATCTGTTGATGACTCTCGTATTGGAGATAACGCTCTCTTTCCTATGACAGGAGATTTTGTGCCGCGTCGAGAAGAACTTTTTTGTGGCGCTGATCCAGGACTCATTCCAGGTGCAGGCATATGCTGCCCAGAATGAATCGCATCTTTATTTCTTCCTATAACGAGGTTCGCGACTTTGTAATGATTCATGGGCTCAGGTCCCAGTCTTGCAGAAGAACCTGTCCTTCGATCTTGAGGATTTCTCCTATCAGGAAATCTCCCAGAAGTCGACGAAGCTAAAGAATCAGACCTTGAAGTTTTACTACTAGCTGCAGATCGTATGCTAGAACCATCCTTTAAGGCAAGTTTTCGAGACGAGATTGGTGTAAGAACTTTCACTGTTAAAATAAGCCTACGAGTCATTTGCATTAGGGCACTCACATCCTCTATGCTCATTGCTCGAACGTCAACTTTATTTACTTTCACGATCTCGTCGCCAACGCGAAGCAATTCAAATACATCCACGTCGGTCCCCAACACAACTCGTGAAACAAAAATCCCGTCTTCTCTCTCCCATCCATCGCCTTGACGTATGTAAAATCCAAGAGATTCGCCGGGCTTTCGTTTTAGCTCAATTGTTCTCTGAAGAAAAGTGCCTTGTTTGGAACACGCTTCCCTAACCCCAAGGATATGTCGAAACGAACCGTGTATAAGCTTGATCGGTAGAGGAGGGCAAGGATCTCCTTTAGTGTCAGGATCTGTAATATCTGTAGCTTTCCTCAACGCAAAAAAATCGTCTTCCTTCTCTGCGAGTCGCATTTGATCAAAGTCTTCTTGAGAAACACTGCTAAAACGACGAATCTGTTGAATAAGTTCATCTCGATCTTCTGGCAATCTGCCTCTGCCAGATCTCGTGCTTCCGTTTGAGGAGGAATAAACTCCGTAAGCAGATCCACTCGATTCAGCCATGATGCGGAGTAATACGTGCCATAAACTCTCTCTCTCAGTCTCTCTACTCGCTCATCTATCCGCCATATTGATTGAATATTGAAGTAGAATTTTTTTCCTAGCAATTAGAAAATATTGTACAAATTGACCAATCAGAGCAGACCAGGACGTGCAGGTGCAGAGAGTCTCAAAAAAACAACAATACATTTGAATGGCTCCCAGTCAATCATTCCCTCACCACAAATACAATCATTTGTAGGAATATTTGCATCAAACTACCAATCAAACGAGCTTTACAAAGAAATGATATAAATAGTTTGAAGAAAAATTACTTAGTAAGCTTCCGTCTTTGGACTCCAGACGAGCGAGCGTAGTTTTTGCCAAGCGTTTGATGCGTTTTTCGATCTCTTCTTTCATATTCATAATTTCAAATCCATCATTTATATTTTAATCAGAATAAGAATAATAAATTTTCATTCAGCGATTGAATTTTCGGTTGTTAGGGTGGAAGAGAAAATGGAGAAAATCTTCTATAGTTTGATTTATAAACTTCAAGGATTCTCCATATATCTTCGCTTTACGAAGCTAATTTTATCGTTTAAAGCTAGGTTTCATTCAAATATTTCTTTGTTTAAACTAAACAGAATTCAAAGGAGCGCTTTTGTAAAGCCAAGTGTTAAGTGTTAGTTCGAAATTTGAATCAAAATCTTCCAAAAATAGAAATGGAAATATAGATAAAGGCAGGCGGCGACGCGAGGGTTTTATTTCACTCGACAATGACGTATTTCGAACAATATACGGAAGAGTTAAAAATAGCCGACTGGGAAACAGTGTTTCTATAGCAATAAGACTCAATACAGAAATACATGTTTTTCAAAGAAAAACAAAGAAGATTAATGATAAATAGACTGGTTCTGAATGTGGTTTGTCTCGAAATTATGCAGGTTAATGTAAAAATAGCAAATGATTAATGGGGGAAAAGCTTTGGGGAAAAATAGAAATGTGTAGAAAGACTTTGCAACAACAACCATGAACAGATGAAGGTTTTGAAAAAAAGACGGTAGAGTGGATAAGTGGACTGAAAAATATAAATCTTATTTTAACAAAAAATATATAATTTCTAATCTTTTTTTAAAACTTTATCTAACGTTGTAACTGAATTTATTCTTTAATGTATATTTAAGAGAATATTTTTGCATCAGATAAAAAAGAGTGAAAAGCAACTACACAAACTAAGTATTACCACGGACTACCTTATTTTAAGAAAAAAAATCTTTTGCCTTTGATTTAAAAAAAAATTTATCATATATATATATATATATATATATACTACTTCGAAACATAAAATGTAAATCATGATTTACTCGAAATGAGAATATAAATAAAACGGCAACCGTACAGAAACAACAAAAAAGAAAACTAAAACGATTATAGCAATAAGACTAAATACATTAATAGTAAACAACATGTGATTATAAATAAATCAAACGAAACACTCAAAAATACAAAACTATTTATAACCATGCTGAATATAGTACTGTGGTCAGTGACTTGCAGCTTGAGTCATGCATTGGCAGTAAATCATAACAAGAGTCTTTCTACAAGCCACTGAAACCAGCTAAGACGACATGTTTAACCTGTTTTAGCCAATATACATTCGTTTTATATAGAATATTTTTCTTAAATCAGATCTGCGCTATACACTACCAGTAGAAGTAGTATATTTAAGAATACGATTCGTATTTTTTGAAATAGTTGTTGAGGTACGTAATCTGCATTAAAGGGGGGAAAATGAAGAAGATGAGAAAAAAAGAAAAGAAAAGGAAAGGAAAATACAGAAGCGCAACCTAATTAATGTTATCAAAAATCAAAGCCGTGCATTTCTCTCTCTCAAAAAACTGTTACATTTTTAGGCATGACGTGTGTACATTCATCACCACGTGTTGTCGCGAGTCTGCATTCTTAAAAACCACAAAAATATCTAAACATTCGTTGATTCTATTCGGTGAAGCTGTATCTTCACAACCTTGATTAGGCATTGATGTATACCGGGATCATGACTGGATAAATGAGAACACATGCAGTCAAAATACCAAGGTGTTCTGGCTGGGGTTTGACCTATTCAGCTTCTATTCGATTGTTGAAAACAACTTGAAATCGATTTTGTCAGCAG